AGTCTAGTCTATAGTCTAGTCTATAGTCTAGTCTATAGTCTAGTCTATAGTCCAGTCTATAGTCTAGTCTATAGTCTAGTCTATAGTCTTGTCTATAGTCTAGTCTATAGTCTAGTCTATAGTCTAGTCTATAGTCTAGTCTATGTTCTAGTCTATAGTCTAGTCTATAGTCTAGTCTATAGTCTAGTCTATAGTCTAGTCTATAGTCTAGTCTATAGTCTAGTCTATAGTCTAGTCTATAGTCTAGTCTATAGTCTAGTCTATAGTCTAGTCTATGTTCTAGTCTATAGTCTAGTCTATAGTCTAGTCTATAAATTCTGATCTACAGTCTAGTCCATAAGTCTATATTCCAGCTTATAGTCTAGTCTAAAGTATATTATATAGTCTGGACTAGACCATAGACTAGACCATAGACTACACTATAGACAAGACCATAGACTAGACGATAGATTAACGATAGTCTAGAATATAGACTATACTATGTTCCAAACTATACTATAGTCCAGACTATAAACTGTTTATACATGAGTAAAATTGTATTCCGTTTTCCGTCTCTACAAATATATTTTATATTTCCTAGCTTCGTCTTACGTTTCATAAAGCAACAACAAAAAGGCATCATCATATAATTTTACGATTTAATTTATTTATTTATTGAGAAATTTCATGTATCAAATAAAGAACATTCATTTTAACGAAACTACGCTATGCGGTAAACACTCTTGAACGAAAACTTAAGTAAAATTTCAAAAATAAATAGAAATTTTTAAATTTCAAACAAAGATTAACTAATAAATAAAAAATTTAAAACTTTTTAAACTCTTAAGTTTCCTCTCAAAAGTTATTACCAACAAAATTACATACAAAACATGTCTTGTTACATTTAACATTCCAGTTTAAACTTACGGCAGTTACTTATGCTTACAGTACTTAACGAACTCAAGGTTTTTGCAATTAAAAAGGGAAGTGTGTTCCAGGTTTAAGTTTTGTGTGAATATTTTTTTGTTTTTTATTATTCGTATGTATTACGTTTTATTATACTGTTTTCTTTTGAAACTCATGATTTTGTTATTATTTAGTATTTCGTTTTTATTGGAATTTGGAATGACAGTATTAATAATATATAATATATATTTAATATAATAGATGAAAAATACATATTCCTATACATATGTGTGTAAGTTAAATGTGTGTGTGTGTGTGTTGTTAAACCTTCTTCTACCTTTGTTCATTTAATTCGTTTTCTTTAGAATGAAAATTAGTATTAAAACAGATAAGATTTCGTTTCTTTAAATATATAAATTATGACAATTTAATGTTTTTTTTTTTTTTTAATTTTTATTAAAAATTTTAATTATTTATTTAATTTACTATGATTTCATTTTATAAGTGCTCAAATGTTTTAAAATTTTTGCATTGTTTTTTTGTTTCTTACTTATTTATTATTAATTAATTCATACCTTACATAATCAAAAAAGTTTCTTTTTATATTAATTTTAATGTTTCATATTGAGTTTACATTTCTAAAGTTTTAAATAATATTGTTGTTATTATTTAAAGAAGTAAAAAAAGTATGGAGTAAAATGTCCCCTTTTAAACAGCTGTTGTGTAAATAATAAATACACTTTGGCAATAATGGAAAAAGCTAATAAAAATTAAACAAAAATTGTGTATTAATGAGTTATGAGGAATCGGTAACATTTTAAAAGGTGTTATATACAAAACCATAAAGATAAACCTAACACATCCTCTTTTTTGCAGATTTCAAAACCTTTTGGTTATTGAACGACTTTGAAGTTTTATAGAATTTTAGTTTTGTTAATTTAACTTTATTTTAAACTTAGTTAAGGTTTAACTGAAGTTCCAAAATATATTTTAACTGTAATTAAGCCTTTGTCGTTGTTGACGTTTTGATTAACTAGGTCCCGTTATTTCAACCTCCGGTTATCGTTATCTCATCCTCCGGACAGTTAAACTGCCGGCTAAAATAACAATTGTATGAAAACTGTGAAGAGAAAATGGGAGTTGATCTGTTAAATATATTTTAAAAATTAAATTGATTTATTTACTTTTTGTAACCATTTTAATAAAATCTATTATAACAATTCGGAGTTGTTTTATTCAGAAATTGTTATGCTGTAAACAGTGCGAATAGACCAAATTTTACTTTAATAAAATAACAAATATGTATGTTGCTTCATTCCTATAGGGAGTTGAAACTCCAGAACTCAGCTCTTCGTTCCCACGACAATTGGATCTTTGCTTCGCTACGACCCCGAGTCATACTCGGCTAAAGATTGTCAACTCAGCGATAGCTGTATCAACCAAAGTTTTTTCCCCAGAAAAGAACTATCGGCCACAATCGAACTGTTACAACAACAACAACTCAGCTCTCGAGTTGAGTGGCCTCCACGAAAATCTAGTTATACTGTGTATATATCACACTCCAACATGTATCAAAGTAAAATTTTAGATTATCAAAAAGAATGCATATGGTTAATGCAGAAAATTTTGAAGAATCGTAACACAATACAGTTAGGGGATGCCACCCATTAAGCCAATACAAGAGGGAAACGCAAAACTTCCGAAGCTAGAGAAAGAGTCAATAGTGGTAGGGAAATAAGCAGCTTTAAAGTTTTCCATAGATATTTCTTATAGTTTAATACATTGCAAAGTTAAACCAGCAAACAAAACAAAATAATTGAGAAGTCAAAAGGAAGTCGGAATAATTTCAATTTAATCGCTAATTTGGAAATGTTGCGTTTTCTGTTTAACCTTAAACATTCCGATCGAAAGTGAAATTATTTCCGGATAAAATCAGCTTCAGTTTTTAAAATGTAAATGAAACTGGTTTGTTAGGTTTTAATACAAATCTTTTCAGAGTCAATTTTAAATAAAAAGCTGTAAATTGAAATATTTTTGTAAAATAATAAAATGAATGTGAAGCTAAAACAAAATCGGTCGGAATAATCCCCCCCGAATCAAAAAGCGTAAACATAAAAAGAAGAAGAAGCAATTCAATTTTATTTCAATGTTTTACGATTGTGTGAATTCTACATTACGATCGTAACTCCATTTTTGTAAGTTGTTATTTTAATGGAGGAGCTTCGAATCGAAATGCAGAATACCAAAGTTGCCAAACGGAGAAAATTTCGATTAAAATTGAAATGCAGAATAGGGTTGTATAAATCGAAATACTACCAAAAGAGTTAGACAATGTGTTCATTAACAAAATTTAGAAAAAAAAACTCCAAATTAGAAAGAAAAGAACGTGACACATATGTGATTGAATTAGAACATATCAATAACTATCTAAAATCCAATGGGAAATAAAACAATGGATTTAAAATCGACAAGAACCTTTATGTACAAATCAATTTCAAAAGTTTTTCTTAAATTTTAATCACATTTGTTTAATTAGTTCTCCTTTAAAAGATACTTATTTGTTATAAATACTGGGAAGTTATATTGTAACTCGTTTCGTATGAATTAACCCCCTAAGTTTGTATGATCGAAATATCACAGACTTTACAAAAAAAACCCCAATTTCAAATCATTCTATTTCCATTGCGTAGCGTAATACTGAGCTAAAGTAGTGACAAATCTATAAATACATGAAATTCTTAAAATTTTACAATATTACAACAAACGATATCTTGCAAATTAAAACAAAAATGGCAGCAAAAAGTTGAAAATATTAAACTAATGTTTTAATAAATTATTTGTTAAATTAATGTGTTTGTTATTAAACTTTTCGTTATGCAAAATTAAAATATATAAACCTCTAACAACAACAACAAAAAAACCGACTCTCGTTGCCAAAGGGGACATTTTAATTTATAATTAATTTTCCTCATTTTCCATTAATTTTTTTTCGCATTTTTTAGCTTTTCGTTTATTTAAATTTTATTATAATATTATTTTTATTGATTTTTCTTGCGTTTTGCATTAAACTTGCACATTCCTTTGGAATGTGCCTTAAATTTACATGTATTTATATCTAATATTAAATACAACTATGGCTATTAAAAAAATTAAAAAAAAAGAAAGAAAATACATTATTGTATCATTATTATAATAATATATATTAAAACTGGATTTGAGTTTCTTTGTAAAAAAAATTCAAATTTTCAAGAGTTTTTTGTTTTGTTTTTTTTTTTTTTTTAATTTGAATCGTTTAACAATTTCATTATATAATTAAATGCATATTATTTATCATAAAAATTCATTATCATATTAAAAATCATCAGCATTGTTGATGTTTGTTTACAAATTAATAATAATAATATAATAATTAATAATTATAATTATTTATAAAAATAATCTAACTCATAAAAAATTACAGTCTCACTGATTAATAAAATATATAATAAAAATAATTCCACATTATACTCCATTGTTTTTAAGGGGTTTTTAACATAATTTTTCAATGGTCATTTCTTTACTATTAAAGCGACAATTTAAATGTCTTTAATTAAACACCCTGGAGTTATTAGTTAGTGGGGGGGGGGATTACGGGGGGAGTAGTATATAATATGTATACATATATGAAAACATTTTGGGTCTATCTAAAAGTAGTTGGTACTAAATTTAAGAATTGAAATGTCAATTTTAAAGCTGTTGCCTTCACGATAAACAACCTCTACGTTAAACTTCCACATCCACACATTGTTGTCAACAATATTTTTAATATTTTTTTTTTAATTCGACTTTCAGTTATCAATATTATTTATAATTTGTTATGCTTTACTTTATACTTTTAATTGTAATGTAAATGACTCTACTCTGTATTTTTAAACACATTTTGGCAAATACTGCTTTAAGTTACATTTGGTAAATAAATAAGAGTTTGACAAAAAAACAAAAAAGAAAAAGAAAGACTAAGTAAATATGAGAACGTACATTATGTTTAACAATAATATATGTATGTATATGTGTTATGTAAGTATGTTGTATTTATAAAACTATGATGGCTCTTTTCGAATTTTTTTTTTTTATTAAATAGCTTCTGTTACGTTGTATTAGTTTGCTTACGTTCCGCCTTCTGCTGTTTCAATTCCCTCATGGTTTAATTTTCTATTATTAACATGGGGGAAAACTCCATCTATGTTGTTGTTGTTGTTGTTTAATGAGAATACATCAGCTTAAAACTGAATTTCAATATAGATCACTTAGTCCTGATCTGAAGCGCCAGGATAATAATATGGTGGTGGGCGTTCATATTCAGATGCTGGAGGTGCCATTGGTGGGTTTTGATATCTGGGTGGTCCGCCATCCCAATGCCTAATAAGCAAAAAGAAAGAAAAAATAAAATATTTATTTATAATAAAATAAATTAAAACAGTTAACTTTTTATATATATATAGTACATAGAGTTATTAGGAAACTTTCAAATAGTTTTTTTTTATAGGTTCGTGGGTTTTAGTTGTCGGTATTAAATTTACAACATACAATATTTATACATGTTTGTTTTTTTTAACATTGTAAGTAGTTACTTATATTTACTATACATACATAAAACATTCAATTCATATATCATGACATGTCATAAAAAGATTTTCAGATTTTATAACTCCAGGACATGCAATGCTTCTATAGAAGTTAAATTATACATTTGCCATATAAACTTTTGATAATCTTTAATAGATTTCTATAAACATTTACTTCTTTTATTATGCATTACATTAAAAGTTTTTGTAAAATTTACATATTTCCATTTTGTTAATGGGTAATAAATTTTGTTAAGAGACACATTTTAACATCAATTAAGTAATAATCGATTAAGGTTATCTAAATCTAATGTTAAAAGAAGATTAACAAAGGACTTAGAACCAACATAAGAGCGACTAATATTAGATTAAATTTATTTTTAGTTTCACTAATCTTATATTTTGTATATGTAGGTTTGATCTTAATCTTTGAATTAAAAACTTATTCTCAAAACAATGGACGTTTTATAAAAAAGGAAGAAAAGGCCTTGTGGCCCATTGTGATACCCTTAGCATTACCATTTCCTAATATTGAGAGAGAATGGTTTTCCTCCCTAATCTCGTTGACTACTTGGTTCGTTCGGTTTTCGTGTAAATCAGCCGATGCTTTTAATAAAACCGATCATGTTTATTAGTGATGCATCTCTGAGGCAGTCTAGATCATGGAAAAGAGCTCTACCAAGATAGAGTAGTCTGTGCTCTTGTAAGGCTGGGCAGTCACATAGAAGGTGTTGTACCGATTCCACTTCTTCTTCGTCTAAGCAGCTTCTACTGTAGCTATAATTTAGATAGCCCATACGGTCCGACAGTGCCCAGTAATTATACCAGTCAGAAGCCTAATCGAGTTCTTACTAAGAGACAAGAGAGTCCTAGTCGTATCTGTTGTCAGAGTAAGCCAGAGCAGTCTCGATATTCTACAAGTTGTGATATTTGACCACCTAAGTTCCGTCTCACTCAAAGCCCATTCATCTATCAATTTTTATAGGGTCGTCAGGGGAGTGTGAATATGCTCTTACGCAAGGGTTAAGTCCAGATATTTCATTTCCCCAAGTGCCCTCATGTCCTATATCAACCCATATCACCTCAACGTAATGTTGTGTCAGTTGTGCCAATGATTGAATACAATTGATAAGACATTTCGACTTAATAACATTGGAGTTAAGAGCCTTGATTGATACAAGACTGTCCAAGTATATATGTATATATATAGTCGAATTTTCGAAATTTAGTTCCCGGATTCTTCTCGCGGCTGTATAGATGGCATATATCTCAGGCTGAAGGAACATGCAGGTGTCAGGTAGTCGAAGAGACAGTAGATGATTTAGTTTTTCGGAGAAGATTCCCGATCCCGTGCCACTTTCTGCCTTTGAGCCATCATTATAGATTGAGATCACGTCGTCCCTTAGGACAGTATTCGCGGACCAATCATCCCTTGTCGGTATTATGGTCTTAAATAACCTATAAAAATTCAGTGTAGATAGAATGTAGTCTGTTTCCTGCCCCATGATTGGCCTGCCTATCTTTTGGAGGATAGTGCCATGACCAATGCGATCGTGCTTCAATCCGTTCGACTGTTTAAGTCGTAGAGCAGATTTAGCAGAAATGCATTTGATGTATATATCAGGGGGAGTTGTGTTTAGCATCGTCTCTAGACTAGCCTGAGGGGTGGAGCTCAAACAGCCAGTGATTACAAGACATGCTAATCTTTGTACCTTGTTTATAATAGAGAGATAAGTCTTGGTATCCACCGCTCTCCACCAAACAAGAGCTGCGTAGGTCAAAATAGGTCTTATGGCATAATGTATGTGGGTCAAAAGAAAAGTATGTGCCAAATTTCATCAAATTTTCTTGAAAATTGCGACCTGTAGCGTGCGCAAAAACATTACATGTACATACAGACAAACATACGGACATAGCTAAATCGACTCAGTATTTCTAAGCCTCTCCGCCATAGTGCTGTTGAGTATAATAAGAAAAAAGTGCGAACATCGGATGAGAAAACAAACGTACAATTTTTTTGAAAATAAACGTGGATAATTTTCATAAAATTTGTAGTATGTTCTCTCATCAGCTGTTCGCACTTGTTTAGCTCTTGCCAAAATATCAATAAAGCAGAAGCTTTCTATCAAAGTTGTTATTGTTGACATGTTATGAATGTTATTTGTTTACATTTCGTATGCCATTTTTGATAGTAATCTAATTCTAGTACAAAATCGACATACATGTTGTTTTTGTATTGTTGTAGTGATGCAGTTACCTCTCTAATTATGCCATGGTATCGGTATTAAAATTAATGTTCGAAAATGGTTTTTAACTTCACGATACTTAGGCAATGACTTCAATAAGATAAAGGAAACTCTCAGAAAATAAGATTGATATATCCTAAAGTCTAGGGCAATGAAGAGAGGTAGAGAAGAGTTCGACAATGAGAATATGGAAAGTTATTAAACATTCAATAGAACTGATGCCTAATATTTTTTTGTAATATATAAGAACTTGTTTCATAACCTCACTTTTTTCATAAATATTATTAAATTTTCATATATTTGACTAAAACTAAAAAGACTAGATTATTGGAACAAAGAAATTGAAATTTAATTAAAATACTTCTACATTAAGACATGCCAACTTTAAAGGAAGTAAAGAAAATATTTTATAGGAAATTTATTTCGTAATATTCAAGAAAGTTTCTTGCATTTTACGAAATACCATTATAATTGTATGAATCTTTAGTGAAAGTTTTCATGAGAATTTTGATAATAAATAAAATATTATTATTTGGATAAAAAAATTTCAATTTTTGAAGAAAATCTAAATTTTAGGGAAAAAAATTTAACATTCAATAAAAAGTGAAATTTTGGGAGATTTTTTTTTTTTTTTTTTGTTTTTTATGAAAAACTGAACTGAAAATTGTTATATTTTATAATTAGGATTTGTAAAATGATATATTTGATGAAAAGGAAATTTTATTTGAAAAATTTATTATTTTATAAAACATGAACATTCTGTTAATAAATTTATTTTTAATGAAATAATTTGAAATTAAGAGATGATGAAAACAAATTACATAATAGCAATAAGATTCTGAGGACAGTTTCTAGGATAGCATTAAAAAGGCCGATCAAGTAACACCAATTCAAAAGTGTTTCTCGATTTCAAAAAAGCTATGCTAAGGAAAGTTCGAATTTAAATGGACACAAGCATAAGGATAACACAGGCCAACAAAATTTGAAAAATTTCGAAACCCGGAGACCAATGTATAGTTTTCTAGAGCAGCTCTAAAAGCCCGAATGTAGCTTAAGAATTTCTTCATTACATTATGTTTTACATATAACTTTAAAAAATCCAATTTTTGGTGGTATTTGAGACGTTAGAACAGCGCGAAGACATTTTCTTCTTCTATATACATATATAAAAATGAAGGTGTGTTTGTTTGTATGTTTGAACGTTATAGACTACTAAACGGTTGAAGCGATTTTCTGGAAATTTTCACAGCGTATTCCTGTATGTCCGGAATAGGTAGTAGGCTACTCTTTATTTTGAAATTTCAAGTGGGCGAGGAGCCACGCCCATATTAAGAAAATACTAAATCCGTATATTTGAGATAATATAACAGTGAGTCCTCAAATTTTGTCGGAGCCATTTTAGTGTCAATGTGATTATTTAGGAGAAAAAGTGGGCGGACTAGCATAAGGGGGGTGTGGCACCTCCCATATAAATTAAATACAAAAAATCGTTTATCTTGGAAACTATTAAATATAGAATCTTAAAAATTTGCACGAATAGCTTTAACATCCATGTAAACATTTTGGGTAATAAATTGGCGGACTAACCATGAGGGAAGCGGCACCTCCCATATGAATTAAATACAAAAATTCGTTTATCTGAGAAACTATAGAACTAAATTCTTAAAATTTTGCACGAAGAACTTTAATGATCATCTGAACATTTTGGAAGAACAAAAGCGGACTTTCATCTGGCGGGCTTGGTGCCCCCATATGAATAAAATAGAAAAATTCGTATATCTGAGAAATTATTAGAGCTAGAATCTTCAAATTTTAATTGAAGAACTTTGACATTCATCTGAACATTTAGAGTACAACAGGCGGACTTTCAATGGGGGACTTGGCACCTCCCATATGAATTAAATACAAAATTACATTTATCTGGGAAACTAATAGAACTAAATTCTTAAAATTTTGCACTAAGAACTTTAATATTCATCTGAACATTTTCGAGGAAAAGAGCGGACTTTCATCTGGGGGGGCTTGGAGCCCCCATATGAATAAAATAGAAAAATTCGTATATCTGAGAAACTTTTAGAGCTAGAATCTTCAAATTTTACTTGAAGAACTTTGACATTCATCTGAACATTTAGAGTATAACGGGCGGACTTTCAATGGCGGGGGGGCTTGGCACCACATATATGAAATAAATACAAAATTTCGTATATCTTGAAAACTGTTAGATTATTCAAATATTTCATAGATAAATAGAAATAGGCGGTTTGCATTAATTTTCTTGGCATCTCTTATATGTAACATATAGTAAATCTGGAAAACTATTGTAGTTAGAATCTTCAAAATCGTTAAGTGGATTTTTTATTTATATTGCTTTTAGGGTAGCAAAGCACCCTGGGTATAGCTAGTTATTTATAAAATTCTCTTCCATACTGTGACAGTATGGAACTTTGTTTCATTATAACAAAACTGCATTTGTTGAGTTTACTCTTTGCTATTAGCTTTTTTAGTCTTGCATTTTTACAGGGCAAGTTTATATCTCTAGACTTAACATTAAGGGGAATTCTTAGCATATTATACGTGTTTTTACAAGATACACACAAATGAATAGAGAATGGAATTCTTCATTAAAGCCGTTTACGAACACTGGTTCCTTTAATAAAAGTTTATTTTTTAATTAGTTTAAATCATTGGTTAACAACGTTTTTGTTAAATTAAATATCATTAAACATTTGTGCATTAAGGTTTTTTAATAAAGCAGATAAGTTTTAAATAAAGCCATGAAAATGTTAAACAAAAAAATGAATTGCTAACTTTGACATTTGAACTAAATATACAATAATGTTTAAAATGAGAGTTTTATGCATGAAATTAATTTAAAAAAAAAATATTAAAAAAAAAATATGTAAAAGCACACAAAAACATCTTTTAAACACATCATACCACATAAAAAAATTAGACCCACACACTTATATGGTGGCTTGAGTTAAAAAGTTAATACCTAAAAGAAACCATCTGCCGACAATGCTTTTGGCCTTGTATCAGTAGCCTCAACCAAATTTCTAAGTGTAAAAAATTAAAAAATACATTTATATAAATAAAAATTAAAAAAAAAACAATAATAATAATATTAAGATGAATAACATATGCAGTTATGTAAATGAAAAATTATTAATTTTTTTTTTAATTATTTGTAGAGAAAAAAAAAGCATTTATTAATGCTTAAAGCTGCTTACAGTATATACTTCAACTACTTAACTGGTTAAAGAGCAAAAAAGTTAACAATGATAATAAAAAAGAGCATTCCCAATTAGTTATTACAACACATTAAAAGGAAATTGTATTGAACGATACCAAGCTGTTAAAATCATTCAACATTCGAAAGAAATAAGTTAAAAAGTAATTTATTTAAAGAAAAAAAAAAAAAAGAAGGAAGAATGGTAGGAAGGAAGGAAGGATGTTTGGTTATATAATGGTTTGAATGGATAAATGAGGGATTTTGAAAATATTTTTCAACATAAACTTACTTGGGTGCCATGTCACTGTAACGCGTATCACGTGCCCCAGCGGCAACCGGTGGTATGCCGTGTGAGGTTGATCCTACAGGATCCTCATAATAATCCCGACGACGGCGATCTTTATTCTTGCGTCGTTTATTTTTTGGACCACTATACAAGTAAAGGACAAAAACATAACATATAAAAATGTAATGAAGTTTTTTTTTTTTTTTTAAACGAATAAATTAAAATAAAAATGAAGTAAAAGACAAGAAGATAGAGACTTGAATAGTTAAATAAAATAGTTAAATTAATTAGAAAAGCTTTTTTGGTATTTAAAAATAAGTAATATACTGCTGCAATAAGTATTTGAAAATAATCATGCAATTATGTATGTTTACAAATAACAAATGGTGCTGCCAATAACCAAGAGATTTGTTTAACTTTTAGAATACTTGTTATACATAAAACATAAACATACATAACACACAACAAATTCCTTAAAACAATTAATTACAGCTGTTGTATTATACTTTATATAAAGTTAATATGATAATTATTTAGAAAAATAAAATTTTAAATTATAATATTAATAATGAAAATGATTAACTGAAAAATTATTGTAAATTTTGTTTAATAAAGCCACTTACTTTGCCAATGGAATGTGATCACGCTCACTGTAAGCATCATATAAATACTCCCTGAAAAGTTATTTTGTTTTAGTTTATGATACAAAAATTTCAACACACGTTCACAAATATAAGAAATAACTACATCATGATGTTAACAATCAATAATAAAAGTCAAAAATGTTGAACAAAAATAAACTACTGAAAAATCATTCAATATAAATGCCATTATAACATGGTTGGTTACTAAATTTTCCAAAAAAAAAGTACAACAACCCGTTTGCTGATAATGTTTTTTTGTATGTGAAATATTAAGCAGGAAATGTTAACGTAAACATGTACTTACGATTCAACCAAAGGGCCAGGATAAGGATCAGATTTTTGATAAAGACTAGACAGTTTGACGGCAACAATTAAAGTTGGTAGGAAAAGTATTACACACCACATAACACCAGCCCAGAAACCGTTCTACAAATTTAGGAAAAATTAATATTAAGCTATACAAATAATGCATTTCTTCTTTTACTTACCAAAGGATCAACAATACTATTACAGGTGGCCACCACACCGGCATCATAAACTTTAGCCATAGGTGCACAAATACCAATCTTTTTCTCTACCGATGTCACCACCATATTCAAATAGCGCATTATTTCACCGGCAAAATGATTGGTGAAATCCTCGGCTGTTGCCTTAACAAATGCTCGACCATCTTTCTGTATAAAAGCTTGTGCTCTTTCGATTTCCTGCACCAGCAACGGTATCGACTCTTGGAATGGACGGTCTTTATAACTAAGAGTTTTATCGAGATCTTGAGCCAATTTAATTAATTCAGATGATTGATTTTTCATAGGTATAACAAGATTTTGATCATAAGTCTCTAAATGCAAAGCTTGATTACGTAAAGATACTTGTACGTCTTTCATGTCGGGACTTAAGATCTTATTGGCAGTATCGCGCAATTGATTGGCGATTTCGGTGAGTGAGTGTTTAGTAATATCATCATTAAGATTATCAATAAAATGGCTAGAATCAAAATCTTTTAAGGCGGAGTCTCTAAGACTCAAAATGCGTTGTTTATCGGCGGCCGATAATATTTCCACACCTCTATCATCAAAATCTATACCTTGCACTAGATTCTCAAGTGTTTGATTGATTTTATAGTGTGATGGATATTCATTGATTTCATGTATATCGACCAGATTATTAATGTGTAATACTTCGTATATGGTTTGATTGGCTTTACAGGCGGCTATAACATGAGAAATTCTAAAGGGTGGCAATGAACCAGAGGCAGCTTTACCCTTGATTTTTGAGGGATACATAATCTCATTTAGATCAACTAAATTGTCGAATTCAGCAAAAACGGCATCGTTTTGAGGATCCCTAGGTAGAAAAGAAAGTTGTGGTTAGTTAGATTAAAATTAATTTTAATTAAGTTAAGTTTATCGTACTTTAGTGGCACACAAACACCTCTATAAGCCACAATGCCTACTAGGAAGTGTATTAAAGCAATTAAAGTAATGGCGGAGATGGTCAGGAATATAATAGCAACAGCGCTGAAAGTCGAAAAAAAGAAATAATTAGTAAAAGTTTAATCTATTGTTTATAAAATATTTGCAACTGTAGCAATTTATTTAAAAACTTACAACATAAGGAATCGGGAACCAGAACCTTTATTACAGCAATCATCACCATAACCATCTGGACGTTTTCCGCATATGCCACACAATAATGCTGCCACTAAACAAACTAAAACCTAAATAACATAATCAAAATCAATTACACATACAATTTCGAGCAAAATTTTTACAAAAAGAAAAACTTACTAATAATAAAACTGAGCATACAGCAATGCCCACATAGAAACGATATGGACCATATTCGGTACGATAATTATCAGCAATATTGGTATATTTATGGGTATTTGTACCAATAATTTTTGAAACCTTTTGCAAATTTGTTTTAATATCATTTGAAGCTTTAAGCAAACCTTCACCTGTAAATTTTGAAGTACAAGAAAATAATTACAAATATATTTCTAAAGAAGTAGAGATAATTCTACTTGATGTAACAGTGAGAATGTACGAACAAACTTACCGGCTTTCGTAATGGCATCAACAATTTGTGGGGTATATATGGCAATTGTATCATTTAAATGTTTACGCATGGCTTTCAAAGCTTTATTACCACGTTCTCCAGCCGAGGCTATATCATCGCTTATTAATTGTTCTAAATTTTCAATTATAGAAGTGACATCAGGCAGCTAAACGAATGAAAGTTGTAAGAAAGGTTAAAATATATAAGATAATTTTTGAAATTTTTTTTGTTTTTTTTTTTAAATTAAGAATTGTTCGAAATTTTATAAAAATACAAAATTTTTCGAAATTAATCTAAAAAAAGGATTTTTCAAAAATTTACAAAAAAATAAAATTTTTTAAAAATGTTTCGAAGAATTTTTTTAATAAAAAAATGGAAATTTTATAAAGAGAATTAAAAAAAATTCTAAAAATAACTTTAATAACTTTATGAAAATTTTCTATAAAAATAGAGAATTTTATGAAAATATTCTATAAAAAAAAGAATTTTATGAAAATTTTCTATAAAAGGACAGAATTTTATGAAAAATTTCTATAAAAAAACAGAATTTTGCGAAAATTTTCTATAAAAAAAGAGAATTTTATGAAAACTTTCTATAAAAAGAGAATTTTATTAAAATTTTCTATAAAAAGGGAGAATTTGAAAAATTTTATATAAAAAAGAAAGTTTTGAAAATGTTCTATAAAAAGATAATTTATGAAAATTTTCTAGAAAAATAGAATTGTATGAAAATTTTCTAGAAAATGGAATTTTTTGAAATTTCCTATAAAAATGAATTTTTTTCGAAAATTTTCTATAAAAAGGGAATTTTATGAATTTGTTTTTAATAAGCGAATTTTTTGAACATTTTTTTTAAAAAGGGATTTTTATAAAAACTTTCTTTCAAAAGGGATTTTTTTTGAAAATTTTCTATTAAAAGAGATTTTATGAAAATTTCTAGAAAAATGGAATTTTTTGAAAATTTTTTATAAAAAGGAATTTTATGAAAATTTTCTATAAAAAGGAAATTTTATGAAAATTTTCTTTAAAAAGGGAATTTTTTGAAAATTTTCTATAAAAAAGGGAATTTTATGAAAATTCTATGAATTAAATGAAAATTTAAAAAAAGGAGATATTTTAATAAATGGAACATTTTCTAAAAAAAAGAAAATTTTATGAAAATTTAGAAAAAAGTGAAAATTTTCTATAAAAAAAAAAATTTAAAAATAAATATAAAAAACGATATTTTCGAAAAAAAATTGTTATAAAAAAAGATAAATTTCGAAATTTTTTGCAAATTATTTAAAAAAGGGAATTTTTTGAAAATTTTCTATAAAAAAGGGAATTTTATGAAAATTCTATGAATGTAATGAAAATTTAAAAAAAGGAGATATTTAAATAAATGGAACATTTTATAAAAAAAAGGACATTTTATGAAAATTTAGAAAAAATGAAAATTTTATAAAAATTTTCTATAAAAAAAGAAATTTAAAAATAAATATAAAAACGATATTTTCGAAAAAATTGTTATAAAAAAAGATAAATTTCGAAAAATTTTTGCAAAATTACTCGCAAATTTCCTTAAAAAAGAAAATTTTTCGAAAATTTTCTTTAAAAAATACAAAATTTTGTTAAAAATTTCGCAAATTTTATTTAAAAAATGGAATTTCTATAAAAAATAAATTTTTTCAAAAATCTTTTAAAAAAGAAAATTGTTCGAAAAATGAAAAAAAGAAAATTCTCTTTTTTATTAAAGAGAAATTTTCAAAATTTTTCTTAAACAAGAGAATTTTTGAAAATTTTTATAAAAAATATTTCGAAAATTGCCACAAATTTTAAAATAAATATAAAACAAAATCCACTTAATAAAAGTTCTTAGAGATGCCTAATGCAAATTTCTTTTGAAAAAACATACCTTAGGAAAATAACGATCTACCATCTTTTGATATTTATAAGCAGCATTAAATATATTATCATACAATTAGTTTAATGTTGCAAAAGCAAATGTTTAATATAAATTAAAACATAACACTTTGACTTAACTCACCTGATCATAATGGATACCATTAGCATCTAATTTTCCAATTTCATATCTATTCAAAACTTCCTTACAAGACTGATCTGAACATTTGTTAAGCATAACTAATAAATCGCGTTTAACACCACGTAAACCTTAAACAATAAAAATATTAATAGTAAAACATTTTTAAGAAGTTTTATAAAGAAATTCCTACCATCACTTAATTGAGAAGCATAGACCCTTAGATCATTTGTTATTAATTTCATTTTCTGTAATTTTCTCTGCAAGTCTGGCAGTTTTTTAAGAAAATCAGTAAGATAACCCACCGAAACAGCCATAGACTTTTGTTCTAACTGAGTAATAATGAAGTCAGAAGTTTCTAAAAAGAAATTTTAATAAATTAAAAATTAATATTTAATTAATTTAAACAACAACTACCTCTTAAAATCAGTTCCAATTGATCGGATAACTGTTTGTAATTATTAACTAAAACATATTCCAATTGTTCTGAGGTTACTTCTAAGAATGTTTGAGTATCATTGCTACCGGCACGTACCACAGCAGTGCTGTCATCTATACCATATTGCATATAACTATTAGTGGCAAATGCCACAATAACACCAAACCTTTAAAAGATTTCATAATTTGTTGCATGTTTAGTTTAGGTAAATGTTTATAAAAATGTAAATTGCAAAAAAGCTTAATTAATAGTAAAACTTACAATATTCCTGTGGCTAAAAGTATTAAAAAGAAACCTAGAAAAACACGGCGGCAGGTATCATGTTTTTTATCAAATGGCTCAGAACGACCACCACATGCACCAGCACAACGGCAGCAACAGAAACATAAGCTAAAGAGAAAAGAAAAACAAAAAACAAAATTAATATATATAAAACTATGTAACACACAATTTGTTTAAAATTTACCCTATTATAGGCATAGAAGCCACTAGGACTCCTACTATCAAAACAATCAATAAAATAGGCCAATAATGTAGAATCAAATCACCCCATTCATTGCGCTCTACTTTGGGTCCCAACTGTACTGTAGAATCTTTAAATGTTAAATAGCCTGTAATAGAACAAAAATAAATTAGAACTTTAAATCAAAACTGTTAACTCTACTATAATATTACTCACCATCTGGTATTGGAGTTTCGCCACCAATCAAAAGCCACATTACTTTTTGAGTGATTTCATATAAAGGTTTCATGCCACGTGCATTGTAATCTGTGGTACTTTTATATGTTACATTCTTTGACCAATCCGTATATTTTGTAGGCTTTAAATTTAATTTGGTATTCATGTCAAATGCACAACTTGTTTTGCACAAACTGCAAACTACTACTAGCAGCAGTAATAAACTAAAGCTCATTGTCTTCCATGATGATGACTTGATTTGACTTAATCTTGAATGCTGATGATAAACATCTAAAGTTTTCAATGTCATTTTTGTAAAAATTTTATGTTTTATGTGAAACTATGGTTTTTTTCTTGTCTTTTTTTCAGTTTGCTTTTGTTTTATTATAATTTTTTATTCGTTGAAGGAATGTTTAGTTTTTTTATTTTGTTTCTTATTCGATTTGAGATGAGTGTGAGAGGAGATGCTTGCTGCACACCTAGCGCGAATAATTAAATTTTAATTTTTCCTTCTATTGAAATCATTTGGCAATGTGTGGAGGCTGTTGTCAAAACGATCAATGTAGCCATTAAGAAAAAACTAAAATGAGAAAAATTTAAATAAAATTATTTAGAAATTTAAAGTAAATTCATCCATAAAAACTAAGTTTTAATTTGCGAACAAATTTACCCCTTAAAAATTAACGAAAATTTTGCTAAGTTATTGTAGAGTGAGTTTGTATATATTTTACGTTTACATACTTCAAAGATTTTTATCTTTATTGGTTCCACTTGTGGTTTTTGTTTGAGATATTAGGAACATTTTTCTCCATATTTAATTTTAATTTAATAATGAAAAATAAAAAGTTTAATTCCTAGAAAACAACCATATAAAAAATCTACATTTATTTTTTTTATGATGACTAATTGTGATAAAGAGTTTCGGAATTACCAAACTTAAAAATCTTGTAAATTAAACAACAAAATAATTTTAATTTTTATAAATAACGACATTAGAAAATAATCGAAAATTAAGTTAAAGTTCTATTTTCGAAAAATTAAAGAAAATAATCCAGCAGTTAGGTCGGACAGTACCGAAATACCTATTTAACCTACCGCTTAGGATTACCGTTTGCCACCGACTGACTAGCTATTTTATCATGTGCTTGTCCTACGAGAACGACAATCGTCACATCATGGATTACGAAGAGGCACTAAAGTGACGATTATCTTCACCCTAGTTTATAAAGAGTACATCCGTGACGAAAGATGAATTAGAGCCATTCAGCTGGTTAGACGTTAGCGAAAATCGCGGTCTGGAAAGCACTGGGAAGTAATAACCAAACAAAAAAGTTCGTCATTTTCAAAAACATCCCAGCAAAAACTTGCATTGGAAAGTAATGAGTTAAAAAAACCGCTTTTCACTACTTCTTCATTAGCATTTGAACTCATTATTTTAATACGGTGATGATATTGTAGGCAAGTACTTACCAAATAGAGAGTTAATAAGTACTTACAAATAGAGAGTTAAAAAGTTGCTTTGTTTTAAAAGCACAAAAAGAAACCTTAAACTAAATACGAACCTGGGTTTCTTGTTCGTTAGTTTGCTGTCTTACTCACAACACCACTGCTTACCCAGCAAATACTCGGTAATGACTTGTACTTATATAACCACATACTTTTCATTGTCGAAGTGCTTTACGTGAATACCTGCCTTATTTCACGGTGGTCTTTTTCAACCACTGGGTGAGCTTTTGCAACGACCCACCACCGCCCCATTGTGCTTCTTACACGCCGGTGGCAATTTCCGGTCCAGTATACGTGCATTTTGCTCGAGTGCTCGAGCTATCTAATCTCTAACCATTGTTGCCCCGTTGCTTAACTTTCGAGATGGAAAAACATCACTTCTGTTTACAACCACGCATATGGGATGGTCTCTCTTGAGTCGGCAACAGCAGCTAGAGACGTAACCGGTAGACCGAAATACGAATCCATCAAATAAGCCGATATTTTGTTCTTACTCACAGTGACACACTGTGGTAATTCTGGTATGAACTGAGTTTACTCTGAACATACCTGGGCAAGGAAGAAAAATTCAATGTTATCACTTGTATAAGATAACTTTCAGCCATCACCATCCATCACCCAGCGCACTTCTCATTTATCCTACACACTCATAAAGGAACAACAAGGTATTCTGTATCATATACAATTAACACCAACTCATTTCCAAAGCTTAGTCCCACAGTCACTCCTCTGTGAGGTATCTGTTGTCATTCGGCAACAGCACCGAACTTATCCCGAAATATAGACTTCACCGTGCATCAGTCTTTTAACTGCAACTCATTCTTCCCGCGAATTTGGGTTTAAACCACAGCCACTACGTGGATCCCGAAGGAACCTCAACCAACTGACCAGCCAGGACAAATCCTGCGGTCAACTGGCCACCCGTAGTGTCAAATTATGTGGCTCTCTGTTTAGACCCCATGTCAAATCATACCAAGGACTAGACGAGGACCGAAGTGACATCACCAGTTTATAGTTCCGGCAGACTAGAGGTACTTTTAGCACCTCTTTACCCCGGGAGTGCAATACACCAAGATGAGGGCCCTTTATCGAGGAATGTCTGCTAAATATCGTCTGTAATCAGATAAGTAAATAGCTTTTAACTCACTTACTATTCAATGTAAGTTTTTGCTGGGTAGTTATTTTATTGTACGTCAAATAATGGTTTTAACACAGAAAAACAATTTTCTTTCTGTGTATTGCTAGTTGCTAGAGAGCTATCCAATAACATATGCAAATAAAACGGCAAAACTCAAAATAAAGTACTTAAGTATCTGATTATATGTAAGTCATAAAAAAAGTACTTACAAGTAATACAGACTGTATATAGTAGTCATTGAAAAGTAAGTGGTTATATAAGTACAAATCGTTAACGAGCTTTTGCTGAGATATTATTTCTTACTTATTATGAATGAAAATAGTTTGAGAAAAATTCATATTTGTTGCATACTATTTATTCTTTAAAATTATTAATAAATTTTTTTCAGTGTAATTATAAAAATGTTTCGAATAGAACTTTGTGGTTATCAGAATTGAAAAGCCAAACTTAATTTTTATTTTGAATGACCAACAACTGTTGCTAAACATATTATCAATATTAAATCGTAAAAGAAAGTTGAATGAAGAAGGGGTCTGCAGTTAAAACGGGAATATAGGGAATTGCGAAATATGTTACTAAGGTTTTTGGTGCTTATTCGTCACATTACCAAAAATGCACAAAACTTTTTATAAAAAAAAGATAAAATATTATTATTTTTATTTATTACCAATAACCATATCTTTTAAATATCAAAATAATTTTATTACCAATAACTGAAATACAAAATTATTATTTATAAAGTACAGTTCAAGTGATTTGTTCAACAAAATAATATTTTCACTTTTTCTGGTTTTTATTTATAGAAAAAAATGTTTCTGTTTTTGTACATGAAAAAATGTTGAAACTGCTTTGTCATTTTTATCATTTTTATACTATTTGTTTACACATGTACTAGCTTACAACACGATAAACCAAACAACCAACCACCTACTGACGAACCAACAAACAAACAAACGAATAAACTATCCAACAAACTTGTGGTATTAAAATAGTTGCTACTAGTGATGAAAGTAACACCCGTTGGTGATAAATTGTATGTGGACATGAATTCGATTAGTTCAAAAAATAACATATTTATAGACTTAACTTTATTGGATGGTTGAAAAGAATTAAAAAGTTCATATAAAAGTTGTATGTATGTATGTATGTATGTATGTATGTATGTATGTATGTATGCTCTCTTTGTAACTCTCGTGTAATGAACATACATAAAATGGCACGTTTATAATAAAAACGTGTTTCAATTGACCTATAAATACCGAAAATAGAAAAGTATTACTTTATAACTAAGATCGTTAATAAAGCGTTTAATTAAGAAATTTTAAACGAAAGTTCTTAAAGTCGGTTTAAAAAAAAAAGAAAATCTAAATTACAATAACCAATTAGAAACCAAATTGCAATTATTTGAAATTTTTTATTTTCAGTTAATTTATTTAAATTAAGTACTAATTATTTTTAATTTATGTAAAAATATATTCATTAACATCTTAAAATATGAAAAATTTTATTATTCATTGTAATTTTAAAAGCAAGAATTACTTTTAGTCGTTACTAAAATGCACTTTGTCAGCATAAAAACTCATCAAATTAATTTTCAAGTTTAAAATATATAAATAAAGGCCTTGTAAAAACTATAATTCGTCATCTACAATATAAAAATATTTATTTAACATAAAATAAGCTCAATGTAAAATTTAAAATAATTTTATAAAAAAAAGATTTAAAAACATTGAACCCTATTTTTTGTTTACTTTTATGGATTTTACCTAGTTACGGTACATTCTTTTTGCTACTGTTCATACATACTTCACTTTTATAAGATGTTTTCACTTTGCTTTTATTCACTGTTTTATTTGCTGTTCTATATTCTAGATGTTCTTAACCTAAGGTGGCCTCAATTTCATAGTAGGTATGTCACTTGACGATTTGGTGTTATTAGTTTTCTGTGCACAGCTTTAATGTTTTAGTATGGCGCAAGAATTGATATTTGCATAGGTTTAGAAGCAAAGTTAGCAAACTACACTAACGGTTTTTTGAGTAGAAACCTTGTATCATATAATAACAGCCAGATTTAGGAACAGTGCCAGAAATATAACTATCGCAATTTGGCTGATCTGTCTGTCAAGGAGAACTTTTACAACTAATCATAGTGATGGGCCACTTCAACGCTCAACTACACAGAGGGAATAGGAAATATACACGCCTGGTATCAAATTGACACCAAAAAGTTTATAATTTTTCAATAACATCCGTTGTCAAAGTATATACATACGTACGACAACACTATTGACAAACAATCCGTTGCCAATAGTGAGCTTACCACGTTTGTTAACATTTAGACAGCGGATGTGTATAAAATTTAGATTTCGACAACGAATTGTTGCAATGTTGTTGTTGTTGTCAACGGATGGTATTGAAAAATTATAAACAGTTTGGTGTCAATATGGTACCAGGCGTGTATATTTCTTTTTCCCTCTGTGTAGGAAGTGATAACTTGGAGAAGGTGGGAGCCTTGAACAATGTCAGACACCACTTTTTAAGGAGAGCCGAGGAACATATCCGTTACAAGGAGGCAAATAGAAAGCTTTGGATAACTGAAAACAATTGACCAAAGGAGAAGAAAGAAGAGCATTTTAAAGGTGGCAAAGATATGCGGCGAAAAAATGTGAATACGCAAAGAGTATAATGCACTTGATAAACTAGTTAAGAAAATTACCCCAGAGGATAAGAGAAGATTGTACAGTAGCCTGGGGATGGAAGCCGAACCATATGCTATAAATAACCGGCAGCAACTGTGCCAGCAGCAAACCATTAGATTAGAGGGCCCTAAACCCTGCGACCCTGTTTTGGATCTCTTGTGCGGCCCGTGAGTTCACAATAACAGGTTTAATTCATGTATGAAAATAACGGGTTAGGGGCCTAAGATTCTTTCCCGA